GTCTATCAGGGTCACTTCCCTGGTAGCTCAGATGGTAAAGAATCTGCCTGCAATGCAGGAGACCTGGGTTCAATCCCTGGGTTGGGAAGATCCTCTGGAGAAGGGCATGACAACTCACTCCAGTATTCTTGCCTGGAGTATTCCCAATGGACAGAGGAGCCTGGCAGGCTACAGTCCATGGGGTCTCAAAGTGTCAGACACGATTGAGTGACTAAGCACAAAGTTTTCACAGAGGAAGTGGCATTTGGGTTGAGACCTGATAGGTAAAAAGGAGTTCCTGGCAAAGGCCTTGGAATTAGGACAGGGCATTTGAAGAAGTGAAAGCAGCCAGTGAAGAGAGACTCTGGTGTGTGAAGGGGAGTGTGAGACAAGATGAGGTTGGCGAGGTAGGCAGGGCCCTGATGTTGCTGCTTCTCAGAGGCCATCGTTGGGAGCTTGGATTTATCCTGAATACAATGGCGATCCATGAAGGGTTACTTTTAAGCAAGAGAGTAACAAGACCTGGCTTATCCTTAAGAGCAATTGCTCTGTCTGCTCAGTTGAGGTTCAGGTCAGTTGCTCAGTCATGTGTGACTCTTTGCGACCCCATGGACTGCAGCATGCCAGGCTTCCCTGTCCATCACCAACTCCTGGAGCTTGCTCAAACTCATGTCCATCAAGTTGGTGATGCCATCCAACCATCTCATCCTCTGTCGTCCCCTTCTCCTGTCTTCAATCTTTCCCAGCATCCGGGTCTTTTTAAATGAGTCAGTTCTTCGCATCAGGTGGCCCAAGTATTGGAGTTTCAGCTTCAGCATCAGTCCTTCCAATGAACACTCAGGCCTGATTTCCTTTAGGATTGACTGGTTTGATCTCCTTGCAGTCCAAGGGACTCTCAAGAGCCTCCAACACTACAGTTCAAAAGCATCAATTCTTCAGCACTCAGTTTTCTCAGCTTTCTTTATGGTCCAACTCTCACATCCATACATGACCACTGGAAAAGCCATAGCTTTGACTAGACGGACCTTTGTCAGCAAGGTAATGTCTCTGCTTCTTAATATGCTGTCTAGGTTGGTCATAGCTTTCCTTCCAAGGAGCAAGCGTCTTTTAATTTCATGGCTACAGTCATCATCTGCAGTGATTTTGGAGTCCCCCAAAATAAAGTCTCTTACTGTTTCCATCGTTTCCCCCATCTATTTGCCATGAAGTGATGAGACCAGATGCCATGATCTTAGTTTTCTGAATGTTGAGTTTTTTTTTTTTTGAATGTTGAATTTTAAGCCAACTTTTTCACTCTCCTTTTTCACTTTCATCAAGAGGCTCTTTAGTTCTTCCTTGCTTTCTACCATTAGGGTGGTGTCATCTGTGTACCTGAAGTTATTCACATTTCTCCTGAAATCTTGATTCCAGCTTGTGCTTCATCCAGCCTGGAATTTCGCATGAAAAGTTAAAAAAGCAGGTGGCAATATACAGCCCTGACGTACTCCTTTCCTGATTTGGAACCAGTCTGTTGTTCCATGTCTGGTTCTAACTGTTGTTTCTTGACCTGCATAGAGATTTCTCAGGAGACAGGTAAGGTGGTCTATTATTCCCATCTCCTTAAGAATTTTCAGTTTGTTGTGATCCACACAGTCAAAGGCTTTGGCATAGTTAATGAAGCAGAAGTAGATGTTTTTCTGGAACTCTCTTGCTTTTTCAATGATCCAACGGATGTTGGCAATTTGATTTCTGATTCCTCCGGCTTTTCTAAGTCCAGCTTGAACATCTGGAAGTTCTTGGTTCATGTACTGTTGAAGTCTGGCTTGAAGAATTTTGAACATTACCTTGCTAGTGTGTGAGATGAGTGCAATTGTGCAGTAGTTTAAACATTCTTTGGCATTTCCCTTTTTTGGGATTGCAATGAAAACTGACCTTTTCCAGTCCTGTGGCCACTGCTGAGTTTTCCAAATTTGTTGGCATACTGAGTGAAGCACTTTAACAGCATCATTTTTTAGGATTTGAAATAGTTCCAAACTGGTTCCAAACCGGGATGGACTACAAAGTGACAAAAAAGGAAGTAAGGAGACCAATGAGGAAGTTGGATATGGTAGATGTCAAGCAAGAGAGGATGCTGGTTTAGACTAGTAATAGCATCTTGCTTCACACAGCAAGGTGAGAAAGAGAATCAGGATGTATTTTGAAGGGAGAGCTAACAGGACTTACTAATGGATTAGATGAGGTCAAATTTTTTTTTTTTTTTTAGATGAGGTCAAATTTTGACTGGTCCAAATTGGTGGATGAGTAAGTTTGGGCTTTTGCAAATCGGTGCTTGAAGGGGCCATTTAGCTTAATGGGGAAGACTTTGGGAAGAATTAATTTGTGAGTGTTTGGGAGCATCAATGTTGGCCATGTTGGTTTTTAAAAATAATAATTCTTGAAAATAATAATAGAGTATCTATTAAGAGTTCAGATTTCAAATTATCTCATAAAGCTATAAAATTTCTTACTGTGTTAAAATACACATAAGATTACATTTGCCATTTAGTCATTTTTAAGTGTACAGTTCAGTGGCATTAAGTACATTTACATTGTTATGCAACCATCACCAGCATCCATCACCAGCCATGTGAGTTTTGAGATATCTGCTAATCAACCCAAGTGCAATGCAGGAGACTTGGGTTCAGTCCCTGGGTCAGGAAGATCCCCTGGAGAAGGAAATGGCAACCCACTCCAGTATTCTTGCCTGGGAAATCCCCTGAAGGGAGGAGCCTGGCAGTCTACAGCCCATGGGGTTGCAAGAGTCGGACCCGATTTAGCAACTGAACAACAACAATAAAGGAAAAATGAAAAATCCAAGTGGGGTTGTCCAGGAGCTCAAAAATGATATGGGCCAGAGGCCTCATGAGATCACCTACAGAGAAAGTATAGAGAGAGAAGAAAAGAAGGTATGGACAGAGCCCCCAACATTTATAAATGTGGGTAGGTCAGGACACTGAGGAGGAGTGTTAGTAAGGTGGGAAGAAAAAGCAGATATGTGTGGTATATGGAAGCCCTATTAGTTTTATAGGTATGCTATAATAAGCTATTACAGACTGAGTGACTTAAACAACAGTAATTTATTTTCTCATAATTCTGAAGGGTAGAAGTCCAAGATCAAGGTGTTGGCAGGTTTGCTTTCTCCTGAAGCTTCTCTCTTTGGCTTGCTGCTTGCTGCCTCATACAGCCTTTCCTCGGCTTGCTTAGGAGTCTCTGTGGTGTCTTCCTCTTCCAGTAAGGACACTAGTCATATTGGATTAGGGCCCCACCTTTATGAATTCCCTTCATCTTAATTACCTCTTTAAATAGCCCTATCTCTAAAAATAGTCACACTGGGAGTTAGAGTGTCAACATAAAAGTGAAGCCTATGGAAAAAAAATTGCTTCCAGAAGGTGGAAGGGGTCAACTGTGTCAAATGCAGCTGAGAAGTTGAGTAAGATAATAGTGGTCTACTGGCTTTGGCAATAAGTAGGTCATTGTAACCTTTGTCAGAGTATTAAGAAAAGACTAATTAGGGCTTCCCTGGTGGCTCAGTGGTGAGGAATCCTCTTGCCAATGCAGAAGACATGGGTTTCATCCTTGGTCCCAGAAGATCCCACATGCCAGAGAGCAATTAAGTCTGGGTACCGTGACTATTGAGCCTGTGCGCTAGAACCTGGCAACTGCAACTCTAGAGTGGGGAAACTGCAACTACTGAGCCCACAGGCTACAACTACTGAAGGCCACCCGCCCTAGAGTCTGTGCTCTGCAAGGAGAACCTATGCGCTGCCACTAGAGAGTAGCCCCCGCTCTCCACAACTAGAGAAAAGCCCACTCAGCAGAGAGCTGGCACAGCCAAAATTAAATAAAATTATATATAAAAAAGAAGAGGCTAGAGTAAATCAAGAAGACATGGAGAGTGATCAAGTGGAGAAACACGTATAGCAATCTTTTCAAGTTTTGGTGTGAAAGAGAATTGAAAATTGGGGCAGTAGGAAGAGAAAGTGGGGTCATACAATAGTACAAAAAGAAGTCGAGTTAAGTGTAAATTGAAGGGGATAATCCAGAAGAAAGAAAATTGTGGTGCAGGAGATTCAGAAAAGAATAACAAGAGTGAAATCCCCGAAGAGACTAAGAAGATGAAATTCAATGAAAAAGTAAAGTGGTTGGCCTTCGATAACTGGGACCTGTCTCGCACATTAACAGAAGTGAGGTTGAATACATCACTCATTACATAATTTGCGGGGACCAGTGCAAAACGACAATGTGGGCTCTTTTGTGCAAAAATTTCAGACTGCGGCAGAAGAGCACTATCCAAGCGCAGAGTCCGTGTAAGTCCGGGGCCCCTACGACTGCACCATTTATAGGGAGCATGTGATGATGACGGAGTAGACTGCTCTCTGGGCGAGTCCATTCTCCTTTTTGGGCCTCAATTAACCCATGGGAGGGTTAGAGGAGATAACTAAGAACATTTCCCACTTCACCCTTCTACAAGCTGGGAGGTCACGCCCAAGGCGTAGGAACAAAGTTTGCGCCTTTTTTTTTTTTTCAATTCTAACCATGCCATATTTGTGCTCCTGCTTTTCTAGAAGGCTCCAAAAAGCGTCTGGTGACCATAGCAACTCACACCAAACTCTGGGGCCTTCCGCTCCGCCCACCGCTTCACGAACGCGCTCTTTGATTGGCTCAGCACGTCGACCAATGGCCGGCAAAGCGGGCTATCTGCCGCGCAGTCAATGGTCGCAGGCTCGAAGCGGGGCGGGACGTGAGAGTGAGCGAGCGGGCCTGGGCGGTGCGGCGCCTGCGTGTTTCCGGCTCCGCAGCGGAAGGCGGACTGCAGCCGTTGGACCGGACGCGATCCGAAGGGTCGGCGAGCGCGGGACGCGAGTGCGGAGCTCGGATTTCGGAGCGTGGCTAGCAGCTGGCACGATGGGCGGGGAGCAGGAGGAGGATCGGTTCGACGGCATGTTGCTGGCCATGGCGCAGCAGCACGAGGGTGGCGTGCAGGAGGTAACGGCCCGCGCGGCGTTGGCTGGGCCCGGCCTACTCGGGGGAAGGCCTCAGCCACCCTCTCTCCATCCTTCTCTGCCTTCGAGAAGCCGAGATACACACCTGGGCTTCGCGGGCTCTGGGATTCCCCTCCACATTCTTAACTGCACTCGAGCTTCCGGTCTGGCCTGCTAGTACCAAGTCTTTTACTCGTACCAGGCCTGGTCCCCCCCCCCCCCCCCAGACCTCTCAGTAGTTTCTGCCTTTGCACCTCCGGCGTCGCTGCATCCGCCCCCGGAAAAACCCCAGAGTTTTGGGATTTCCTCCCCTCCCCCATGCTTTCGGCTCCGTTTCTCCGTTGGTGACCGCCGCCGAAGAGCATCCCTTGGGATGAACCTTTCTAAACATTGCGACTTGCCTGCATGGAGACTTGGAGCGAGCAAAAGAATGTGAGAGTGGGAGGCGATATTAACACGTGGTCTTTGAATGGGGGAACAGGAGGCCTGTGTTCACGATTGTTCTACACCGCACCTACCAACTTGGGACCCTTCCACGTCTCCCAGCCTCAGTTTCTTTTATTTGAGATTCAGCTACGAATCCTTATATTTCCTGAATTTTTAGGAGAGTAGTGTCTTGAAGGGAGGGGAGGGATAGTGAGGAATTCTCAGTAACCAGGCTTGAACAGTCAACACATATTTGTTCGAGTGATTGATGTGTGCAGGAACATAATTCCTGCGTAGTGACCAGACCCAGTAACACAGAGTGGATGAAGGATAAGGACCAACTTAGAAGAGGTTCTGGAATTGGTGTTTTGAACCATGGAAAAGTTCACAAGGTAGAAAAGCCAGTCAAGATCAGTCTTTTTATTAAAAAGACACTGAAGGAACTTGCCCAAGATCATCCAACAGGCTCCTGGCCTGGAGGGGACCAGCATCCTTAGGCCAGTGTGTGCTCTCCACAGACCCATTTTAGGTTCTGTGTCTCTCTGGGGACAAAAGTTTTGAGCTTTCCATTCCCATTCTCTCATTCAGGTAGGTACCTGTGGTGACCAAGGACTCCTAAGCCCTTTGAGGTTGGAAGAGTACTATTTGAGGATGTGAAAGGCTCCCTCTCCCCATCCCACCCCCCCTAAATTGTTGACACAACTGGATTTGGAATGTGTTCATTTTTGAGTGAACTGAAAAAAATATGTAGGAGCAGGAATTGAAACCATTGAGATAAAATCTAGCATCGGATTTCTTGGGCAAATAAAAAGGCTTAGTTATAGATGCTAACCTTAGGTCACCACTAGATCGTTTCATTCATCAGAATGTTTATTGAGCACTTATTCTTTGAGTCAGGTCTGGTGCTGGGCACTGAGGATGTGACAGTCATGGTTCATAATGCCTGCTTATGAGGACTTCATCCTCCTGCAGAGGGTCTCTTGCTCTGGACCAGACACTGCTCGGGACCTCAGCTCCTTTGCTTCCTTTGGTTCTCACAAAGGATCCTCAGGTATATCCCTGGAAATAGGTCCTGCTGCTGTTTCTCTTTTATGGAGTTAAGAAACTTTCCTAAGGTCACAGAGCTCATGTATATCAATCAGTCTTGATACCCAAACTGATGTTCTTAAACCACTTGGCCACCCAGCCAGAATTAGTTGGTCTGAACTTTCTTTCAAATGGCTTCATTTGTTCCCTTCCTTCTAGCTCTGCCCTTGTAACTCAGCCAGTGCCACTCTGGATGGGTTTTTTACTATGTGAAGAGGAAAGGTGGGCCCCAGGTGTTTCAAGCCATAGATGCCCGTATCCTCAGACTGCCTCTAGCACCACAAAAAATGAAATACAATACACGTGCATACAAGAAAATGAGACTGGGACTTCCTGGTGGTCCAGTGGTTAAGAATCAGCCTGCCAATGTGGAGGACATGGGTTCAGTCCCTTGTCTGGGAAGGCCTCACATGTCACGGAGCAGCTAAGCCTGTGTGCCGACAACTACTGAGTCCACACCTAGAGTCCATGCTGTCCAAGAGAAGCCACTGCAGTGAGAAGCCTGTGTGCCACAATGAAGAGCAGCGCCTGCTCACCACAACTAGAAGGCCTGTGTGTCACAACGAAGAGCCTGTGCAGCCAAAAATAAATTAAAAAGAAATGAGAAATCTGCCTTTCAAGGGATCCGGGTAAAGTTAGTTCAGGCTTCCTGGCAGACGTGACAAAGCCCAGGCCTGTGGGGAGGATGTTTCCTCAGTTGAGAGGCTGGGGGCGAGACAGTCTAGTCCCAGGCTCCCTCCTAGGCTGAGAGAGTTGGCGTCCGTGCAGCTGAGGGGCCCCCAGTATGGCGTCTCTCCATCTCTGTTTTTGTTTCCTTTCAGCTGGTGAACACTTTCTTCAGCTTCCTTCGACGCAAAACAGACTTCTTTGTTGGAGGAGAAGAAGGCATGGCAGAAAAGGTGAGTGCTGGGGGCCAGTGTCCTTTGGGCAGCTCCGTTTCTCCAGAAGAGCTTATCTGGCCTTCTTTGGCATACTAATAACTGTTAGCAGAAGTCAGGTTTTAGCCAAGGGCAAAGAGTTGGGGAAGGGAAGCAAGCCGTCGTTTATTAAAGCCCCTCACCTCGCCAACTGCATTACCTACCCTATTCCCCATGGTCCTTTAACTGTTTGAGGGGCAGGTGTTACTGTCCCCATTTATAAATGAGGAAATCGGTGTGAGTTACAGGAAAGCCAGGGTTGTCCAAATTCTTGAACTGAGTTATGGGAGAGCCAGGGTTGGAACCAGAGTCTCTTCTAAAACTGCTTTCTGCCCCTTATGCAACGCTTCTTGGTTCCTTTTCTCCATTGAGGAAAGTGAAAGCGTTGGTCTCTCAGTTGTGTCCGACTCTTTGTGACCCCATGGACTGTAGCCCTCCAGGCTCCTCTCTCTGTCTATGAAATTCTCCAGGCGAGCATACTGGAGTGGGTAGCCATTCCCTTCTCCAGGGGATCTTCCCGACCCAGGGATCGAACCTGGGTCTCCTGCACGGCAGGCAGACTCTTCACTGTGTGAGCCCCCACGGAAGCCCGTGTTCTCTCTGATTGCCTCACTGGGAGGTGAGAGTAGGCCAGTGTTAGAGATGGAGCTTAGAAGACAGATAGGAAAACTCAGGGCCAGCCAATCCCATTCTTCTCAGATTCTGTGACCCAACGTTCAGGGATTTGAAAATAGTGGTGGTGGTGTTTTTTTAAATTGTCTTATCTCCTATATATATATATATATATATGTATGTATGTATCTTTTCTAGGTTCTTTTCCATTATAGGTTATTATAGAAATTGAATATAGTTCCCTGTGCTATATAGTATGTCCTTGGTTTTTTTTTTTTTTTGTATTTTGTATATAGTAGTGTGTATCTGTTAATCCCAAATTCCCAATTTACCCCCCCACCTTGGTAACCATAAGTTTATTTTCTATGTTTGTGAATCTTGTTCTATATTGTAAATAAGTTCACTTGTATAATTTTTTTTAGATTCCACATATAAGTGATAGCATATGATATTTGTCTTTCTCTGACTTACTGTACTTAGTATGATAATCTCCAGGTTCATCCATGCTGTTGCAAATGGTATTATTTCATATTTCTAAATGGCTGAGTAATATTCCCCTGTGTGTTTGTGTGTATACACCATATCTTCTTTATGCATTCATCTGTCATTGGACATTTAGATATTGCTTTCATGTCTTAGCTATTGTAAGTAGTGCTCTTGTGAACATTGGAGTGCATGTATCTTTTCAAATTAGAATTTTTGTATTTTCTGCATATATGCCCAGGATTGGGATGGCTGGATCATATGGTAGCTCTTATTTTTAGTTTTTTAAGGAATCTCCATACTGTTCTCCATGGTGGCTGCACCAATTTATGTTTGCACCAACAGTGTAGGAGGGTTCCCTTTTCTCCACATCCTCTCCAGCATTTATTATTTGTAGACTTTTTGATGATAGCCATTCTGACTGCTGTTAGGTGATTCCTGAGGATTGTGCTTTATGGTACAGGTTCTGAGAGTTTGAATGTCTTTTGATTCTCTAGGTTGTAATTATATTTTTGAAGATTCGTAAATAATGAAGAAGATGTCATTTCACTGAACTTTGAAAACTGACAGTTGTTTTCAGTTAAACAGGAGACATAATAACCGAAAGGAGACATTTTACAAACTGCTTTCTGTGGCCTCAGGGTTCTAACAAGCTGAAATGCTTGATAAGATGCCTTGACCTGAGGCTACTCTGTAGTACGGACGTGGTCCTGGAGCAGGAGTCCTGGGTTCTTGGTCTAGCTGTGTGGCCTGGTTGATTTCCCACCAATTCTCCGGTCCTTTTAATCTTCACACATGTCAAGCAGAAGAAGGTGGACTCACTGACCTTTAGGACCCTTTCTGGCTCAAGTATGCTTTCTGTATTGGCACTAGCACCTCCTGTTTCTCTGTGGGCCAGACTTCACCATAAAATATCAGCGTTCATTCATTTAATTAACATGTATTGAACAGTTAACACTTTGCCTCTGTTAGCCGCTGTGACAGAGCCATCGGGATAGCCGAGGTGAATACAGACTTGGTCTTTGTTGTCATGGATCTCACAGTGTAGACTCCTTACTAAACCCTACTCCCCCCACCAAAAAGAAAGACAGCGAGGGAGTGGTGGGTGTCCAGGTAACAGTCCCAGGAGCATAAGATGGTGACTGACCTAGGTTGGGGGCTCCAGGAAGACGCTGAGGAAGAGGTGCCTGAGGCATGAAGGGAGAGCGAGGTAGCAGGCAGAAGGGAGAGAGATGAACAGTGTTGAGAAGTGGTGTCTTGGGCGTATCACAAGGATGATGGTAGCTGTTCTGTTGGACGTCTGCTGGTTCCTCTGTTATGCTCCTTGCCTCCTTGTTCCCTTAGAGTCAGCTCTTTCTCAGGAGGTTGGTTGGACTCTCAGGCAGGCAGAAACCTGTCCAGCCTTCCCAACTGGTCTCCAATTGTAACACCAGTAATTCCTTTGTGTTGAGGACCTGCTGTGCACCGGGCTACCAGATAAGTCCTTTCCAAGTGTTCCGGTTGAGAGCATGTTCTCTGGAGCCAGGCAGATGTGGCTGAATCCTGTGTGCCCGTCTCCCTGTGTGACAACTGTGGCATTGGATGAATCACATTCTGAGCCTCATTCCCCCCTGCCACCCCCAGAAGAGGGGATAATCTTTCTCTCACAAGGCTCTTCTGAGGATAAAAAGAGTGTTGCTGGCACATGAGAGTACAAGTGAGGATAAAAAGAGTGTTGCTGGCACATGAGAGTACAAGTTCCCAGTCCCTTTTTTAAACCTCTTGGGGCCAGGTGTATTTCGGAATTTAGAGTTCTTTGGATTTTAGAGATAAATATGCACTGTATTGCCTCCTAAAATCCAAAAGAATTCTAAATCCCAAAACACATCTGGCCCCAATAGGTTCAAAAAAGGGACTGTGAACTTGAATTCTTGCGCTTTCCTGGTGGCTCAGATGCTAAAGAATCTGCCTACCATACAGGAGACTCCGGGTTGGATCCTCCCTCAGAGAAAGGAATCGCTACCCACTACCTCCAGTATTCTTGCCTGGAGAATTCCATGGACAGAGGAACGTGGCGAATTACAGTCCATGGGATTGCAAAGAGTCAGACACAATTGAGCGACTAACACTTTCATAGTGCATATACTGTATATAATATACTTTACTCCAGTCCAGGGGTCAGGAGCAGCATAATGTAATGAAACATTGATATTTCTGCAGAGAAGTATATATCAATATTTATGCCAAGATATGAAAACTGCAAATACCTTCATGCTTCAAACTTATAGAAACACAAAGACACTTCAGTTTTTATAGCTTTTGAAGCTAGGCATTATGGATTTGCATAAAGGCCATAATGATCAAATCAGTATGTTATTGACATAGGAAGAGACAAATAGACTAGTGAAACAGAGAACCCAGAAAAAGTCTAACTTTAAGATGTGTCCAGTAAGGTAATTCAGTTCATAGGCAAAGGATGATTTAATAAGTCTTGCTGCTACAACTGGCTATTTGTAAAAGCACCAAAAGTGTAAAACGATCTGTTCATATGTGCGTGCTTGCTAAGTCGCTTCAGTTGGGTCTTTGCGATGGTATGGACTGTATCCTGCCAGGCTCCTCTGTCCATGGGATTCTCCAGGCACTAATACTGGAGTGGGTTGCCATGCCCTCCTCCAAGGGGTCTTCCTGGCTCAGGGATCAAACCTGTGTGTCTTATGTCTCCTGAATTGCCAACTAGTGCCACTTGGGAAGCTTGTTGTACTCATATCTAAAAATAAATTGCAGATCAAGAAGAGTTTAGTAAGGAAAGCTAGGAAACTATGTATAACCTTGTGTGGAAGAGACCTAGCAAGGATAGAAACCTGGAAGCTATAGAATAAAAGAGCTGTTTGTTTCTTCAGATATAGAAACTGTGGCAGAAGAGATGCAATGACATATAGTCATTTGAAAAACGGTAGATCTGGGGAAAATGTGCAATGCAAAGGACAGATAAAATTTAGGAGACAATTTAATTTGCAGGAACTCTTGTAAGTTGACAAGAAAAGGATAAATGGAAAAATAGGCCATTCCATGAGGAGCATATGAAAAGATGCTTACATTCAGTAGTAATCAAGGAAATGTAGGTGAACTAAACAGTGAGATGCCTTTTTTTTCTGGTCAAACTGACAAAAATATTTTTTTAATTGCTTACAGGGATGTGGAAAAAAAGGGTACTCTTCAGACATTGTTGGTAAAAGTGAATTATAGTTCTTTTCTTATTATAAAAGATGCTCAATATCACTAGTCATTAGAGAAAGGCAAATAAAAACCACAGTGAGATGTCCCCTCACACTCACTAGGATGGATTCTGTCAGAACCTCCCGAAAACACTTAAGTGTTAGATAAGGTTGTGGAGAAATCAGGACTCTTGTGTACTATCAGTGGGAATTTAAAATGGTGCAGCTGCTGTGGAAAACAGTATGGTGGTGCCTCAGAAAATTTAAAACTAGAACTACCAGGTGATTAGCATTCCCATTTACCCCCTGAGATTGGAAGCAGGACTTTTTTTTTTTTTTTAATTTTTGGCTGTGCTGGGTCTTAATTGCTGCATGGACTTTGTCTGGTTTCGGCGAGTGGGGGCTGCCCTCTAGTTGAGATGCACGGGCTTCTCACGGCGGTGGCTTCCCTTGTGGAGCGTGGTCCCCACAACGAGTGGGCTCCAGCAGCTGCAGGCCACGGGCTCAGGGACTGCGGCTCCCGGGCGCTAGTGCCCAGGCTCGGTGGTTGTGCTGCACGGGCTTAGTCGCTCTGCGGCACGTGGGGTCTTCTTGGATCAGGGATTGAACCTGTATTTCTTGCATTGGCAGGTGGGTTCTTTATCACTGAGCCACCAGGGAAGCCCTGGAAGCAGGATCTTGAAGAGAGATTTGTACACCCATAGCAGCACTGTTCATAAGAGCCAAAAACTGGAAGCAATCCAAGCATTCATTGATAGATGAATTAACAAAATGTCATATATCCATGTAATATAATATTATTCAGGCTTCCCTGATGGCTCAGCAGGTAAAGAATCTGCCTGCAATGCGGGAGGCACAGGAGATGCAGGTTCAATCCCTGGGTCAGGAAGATCCCCTGGAGGAGGAGGCGGCAACCCACTCCAGTGTTCTTGCCTGGAAAATTCCATGGACAGAGGAGCCTGGCAGGCTACAGTCTATAGAGTTGCAGAGTCGGGCATGACTGAGCACACACATACATACACATTATTCACCCTTCTAAAGGAAGACAGACAAGAGCACATACTGAATTAGGCCATTTACGTGAAGTCTTAGAACAGGAGTGTGTCTTCTCCCTCAGACGTGTCCCCCCACTCCATGATCAGGTCCAGGACATCATGCCTTTGGGTTGAGCTTAAATATCTCTCAGGAGCCTTCCTTGGCCAGTCTGGGGGGACCCATTATTTACTCTCCTGTCACCCAGGCTAGGTCAGGGGAAGCTGTGTTCAGGTATGCCCACCGAGCACCCTGGGGCCTTGAACTGGCCCAGCCCTCCTCACCCCTTCCTCACTCTGCTGGGCTTTGGTTCCCAAAGACATGTCCAGCGACAGAAGCTTGACTCTGACAGCCTGTCAGTTGGCACCCTGAGTAGGCTACAGTCTCCAGGGGGTCTCTGCCTGGGCCCAGGCCCAGGTAAAGCGGTGGGAGGAGACCGAGAGGAGGGGTCAGAGGCTGCTGTGATTGGCCTTGACTCTGCCTGGTGGTTCAGCTCTGCCCTCATCTGCCCTCCAGGAGCTGGGAAGGAGCAGGACGAATGGGACGTGATTCACTGGAGCTGGGAGAGGGGACGGCCCCACTCCTGCCTCCCCTTGGCCACCGGTTAGCAGATGGCCCGAGTTCAAGGTCTCCCTGATTAGGGTGGAACAGCCTCTGCTGGCGTAATTGGGCCATGACCAACCCCTTCTGTTGACAGCACAGTGGCCTTCAGGTGGCTCATTTATTTCTTACACACACCTCATTTTGTTAACCCATTTGGTTTCGGGGTGCTTTTGGTACCCTTTAACCTCGAAGAATGTGGAGCTACTGTAATGTGGCATGAAGTTAGAGGTTTGAGGGTAACAGGAAGAACTGGCGCCCAATGAATGAGAAGCCACAGGGCATTTGGCAGAACCCTAGGCCTAGGAGCCCATGGCTGACTTTGGTGACCCTGAGCCCCACGTGGTTCCCCTCAACTCTTGCAGATCCATTTCCCTCTAGCTCTAGCTCAGAGATTCTTGAAAGATGGTTTGTTGACCCCTGATCATGTGGTGGGCGTCCTGCGAGGCTGCCTTCCAGGTGTGTGGGTTGACACAGAGTTGGGTTTCCTAAGTTGGGTAAATTCCTGAGTCTTCCAAAGGTGAAGAGGTGAAATTCAACAGACACTTGAGCTGGTCCTGGAGGATAAGAAGCTGTTGGCGAGGTGACCTGAGAGGAGAGGCAAGGATATTCTAGGCAAAGAACAGCTATGTAAGACTGCTTTTAGAAATAATATGATAGAAGCACAGAGAGATGACCTCAGGGTCACACAGATAGAAGGAGTAGGCCAGGATCACAGATGTAGATGCAACTCAAGTATGCATGAGAATTGGCCAGGAGGGCTTGTTAAAAGTACAAATTGCTGGGCCATACCCCTAGAATTTCTGATTCAGTAGGCCTGGAGTAGGGCCTGAGATTCAGCATTTAATTCTGGGTGATGCTAATATATTCTATGGATCAGGGGAACCACACTTCAGGAGCTTCTAATGTAAAACATGAGGTGTAACCATTCCTCCTGTTGTTATCTTCATAGCAGAGAAGGTGCTTCTCCACCAGCTGACCCTGGGTTAGCCTCAGCCAGGCAGGGGGTGTTCGGATGCCAGCAGTTCATATGCCGCTGGTTTGTGGCTAGGACTGTGCCAATCTCTTGACAAGTGTCATATAGAGTCTTCATGACAGCTGATGAAACTGAGGCTTAGGAAGGTCAAAGTTGTTTCCTTGTCCAAGGCCACAGAGTCAGACCAGGTGGTGACAGTATTGGGGTCGCTCTTGGGCCGCAGAGGGGGCAGCTAGCACGATGCAGTTTAGAAGCATCCTAGGAAGATGTTATGGGAGAGGACAGATTTGAAATGGATAGCTTACAGGCCGAGGAGAGGAAGACGCTGGGCTTTTCCCTCCAGAAAGCTCTTTTTGGCCTGAGAGCTGAGGAACAGCTTCTCAGAGGGGCTGAGGCTGGTGTTCTCCTGACAGCTTCACTCTGCTGTGAAGGACATTTGGTCTGCCTGACATTCCTGTGAGGTAGGGACTCCTCCTTGCTGATAAGGACTCTGAAGCTCTCCGGGGATCTTCCCGACCCAGGGATCGAAGCTGCATCTCCTGCGTTGACAGGCAGATTGTTTAACCACTGAGCCACCAGGGAAGCCCACTAATACCATTAATAGGTTAAGTAATTTGCTAAAAATACAACAGCTAGTGTGTGACAAAGCCTGGATTAGAATGCAGGTTGTCCAACTGCAGTGTTGGGTCTTAGTCCCTGGACTGCCTTTTTTTAAGCGGTTGCTATTTATTGAAGCAGATACTTTGCAGGTATTCTCATTACAACTCAATGAGACAGATGTGTATTAAATCCCATTTTAAAGATGTTGAAACTGAGGTTCTAAGTGCAATGCCCAGGCACTCAGAGATGGGACTGCCTTCATGTCTTGGGATGTGTCTTCTCCCCCGATGCCTCTTAGCCTTCTCTTCCTTCCTCAGCTTATCACACAGACCTTCAACCACCACAACCAGCTGGCACAGAAGGCCCGGCGGGAGAAGCGAGCTCGGCAGGAGACTGAGCGGCGGGAGAAGGCGGAGCGCGCAGCCAGGTTGGCCAAGGAGGCCAAGTCAGAGACCTCCGGGCCCCAGATCAAGGAGCTGACTGATGAGGAGGCTGAGAGGCTACAGCTGGAAATTGACCAGGTAGGAGTGGGCTTCCCTCCCTTGTCTCCTGATCCCCATGGACACTAGAAGTGGGGCCCCTCTTGCCAGCTGTTTCCCCCTTTGCCACAGAAAAAGGATGCCGAGAATCAGGAGGCCCAGCTCAAGAATGGCAGTCTTGGCTCACCAGGGAAGCAGGTGAGATGGACTGGAAGGGTTTGGGAACTTCCAGGGCTCTTCACCCACTCCCTTTCTCTGGAAGGCCCACCCCACCGTTCCCTTAGCTTTGGGAATCCTCCCCATACTCCAGGATCCCACATGGGACCAAAGTGGGTTAAAAAAAAAACCCCAAAGCTCACTGGCTTAATTTAAGCCTTGGCAGGAAAGCTGGAGAGCCAGAGATGGGCGGTGCTGCACGGACACCTTGCAGGCGGGCTCGGGTGGGTGGGTTTCTCTGACACGCCTGTGGCGTGTTCTCCTCGGGGCTCCTCCTGCTCCCACATAATCCTTGGGGCACTCACTCAGCTCTTCAGAGGTTCTGGTCTGAGGCTGGGTCCCCGCCCTCCAGACAGAGAAGAAGGAAGCTGACCATTGGCAGACTGGTTTTCCTTTAGAACAACTCTGCTGGCGGCCACCTCCTGACCTGCTCTGGGCTGGGCTTCCTTCCCAAGTCCCGTGGCTGGGTCCCCGGGGTCCATGTCTGACCACCACTACCCCCCCCAGCTGTCCCAGGGTCTCCCCATCTGAGCTTCTCTCAGGCAGACCTAGCAGAGAGCTAAACAGGTTTTACCTCTGACTCCCAGTGGGCCACGGACTGGGCAGGGACCAGGTCTTCTGTATTGTCTGCGCAATGCCGGCCAGTGGGGTTCAGTCTAGGTCTGTCAGGGAAGTAGCCGAGCACCCCAATTGTAAGTAGGAGGCCGAGGAGGAGGAGGAGGAGGAGGACGAGAAGGACAAAGGGAAACTGAAGCCCAACCTTGGCAACGGGGCGGACCTGCCCAGTTACCGCTGGACCCAGACCCTGTCGGAGCTGGACGTGAGTGCAGGGGCTGGGGTGGCAGGGTGGGAGCCAGCCTGGGGCCCCTCCTGACTGCTCCTGCCCCGTGCAGCTGGCTGTGCCCTTCCGTGTGAACTTCCGGCTGAAGGGGAAGGACGTGGTGGTGGACATCCAGCGGAGGCATCTCCGGGTGGGGCTCAAGGGACAGCCAGCGATCGTGGACGGGGAGCTTTACAACGAGGTGAAGGTCGAGGAGAGCTCCTGGCTCATCGAGGATGGCAAGGTGGTGACAGTGCATCTGGAGAAGGTACGAAAGGCCTGCCTCCTGGCCTGTGTTCTGAACTTGGGGGCCCTGCTGGGGGCCTGATGGGCATATGTTATTTCATTTCCACAATAAGACTTTTATAGTATGTTTATCACATTTTAGAGTCAGAAAAAGGGCAGCTCAAGAGATCTGCCCCAACTCTTGCCTCTAGGAGAGGGTGGAGTTACGGATCAGGATTGTCTTTAGTACCAAAGCCTTTTCCTTTCCATTAGGTTTTTGTTGTTGTTGTTCTACCAGTTTATTGCTACCAACCCATCTCTCTCCACCCTCATGCATGCATGCTCAGTCATGTAAGCCCATGGACTTTCCAGGCAAGAATATGGGAGTGGGTTGCCATTTCCTTCTCCAGGTCCATTAGGTTTTTTTCTAGTTTTTATTTTGGGTCTGAATTTTATTTTGGGTCTTAGTTGTCATGTGTGGTATCTTCCTTGTGACACGTGGGACCTTTAGTTGCAGCACATGGGGTCTAGTTCCTTGACCAGGGATCGAACCTGGGCCCCCTGCTTGGGAGCTCAGAGTCTTACCCACTGGACCCACCAGGGAAGTCCCTCCATTAGGTTTGAATACAAGCATTCAATTCAACAAATACTTGAACACTTACTGTGTACCAGAGACTGTTCTAAGTGCTGGAGGGAGAACAGTGAACAAGATGTAGAAAACTATGCTCCTCGGGAAGCCCGCATGCTCCCCCTCTGAGAGACCCGGGATACAGACCCCGGTACATGAACGTGGTCTCTGTGAAGTGCCAGGGTCCGAGGAAAGTGTCCCATGGCACGTACTGCCTGGCCCAGCCTACCTGACCCTCCTTGGCTGCCTCTCACTCACCCGCCTGTGCCCTTGCCCTTGCATTTCCTCCCACCTGGAATGTCCTTCCCTGCTCTTCTAATGTGGTTCACGCGTGTCATTTAAGGCCCAGCCCATGTGTGTGTCCTAACCTCTCCCTCCACCCTGGATGAGTGTCTCCCTCTGTACTTTATTCTTTCTCTTATCATGCTGGCTATCTCCGTGTCTGTCTCCCCCAGCCACCGGGGAGGGCAGAGGTCTCGCCATCTGCCCCTCGGTCCCAGTTCAGGCCTCGCAAGTCCCTGACGCAGGATGTGGCTGGGAGAGATTTGGTTCTGGAACAGCTGGGGGGTGGGCACCAGGGTCCAGAGTGAGCCACCACCCATCCCTGGGTGGCTCTCCTCTTCCTCTCAGATCAACAAGATGGAGTGGTGGAGCCGCTTGGTATCCAGTGACCCTGAGATCAATACTAAGAAGATAAACCCTGAGAACTCCAAGGTGAGCCCAGGCTGGTTGGAGGAGCTGCGGTTGGAGGTCTGGGGCCTGGGTGGCCCCAGGGCGTCACCCACCCTGTCACTGTCTGCCCCCCAGCTGTCAGACCTGGACAGTGAGACCCGTAGCATGGTGGAGAAGATGATGTATGACCAGAGACAGAAGTCCATGGGGCTGCCTACCTCGGATGAGCAGAAGAAACAGGAGATTCTAAAGAAGTGAGCGATGCAGAGATGGGGGTTTGGGGGAGGTGTCTGCGGCTGGGACCTGGGTGACAGCAGCAAGTGTTTACTGAGCAGAACACAGGAGCTGCCCCGCCCCTTCCAGGATGAGCCAGCCAAGTTTATGGCTTTATAGCCTTGGCTTGCCTCCCCTAATCACTTACTGAGGTCATCTTGAGGGCAAGGCTACCTCGGGGTAGGAAAGGGTAACAGGCGGTCACCGTCACCAACAGAAAAAGCAGTGCCAGTGTTGGCACCTCAGCATCCAGCCTTGGGCTCAGATGGGCCTCAGAGGGAGACCTTGGGGGCCCTATTCCTGCCTGGCGTGGCTCCAGGTAGCTGAGAGTTCTAAACAGATTAGACCTCATGTTGGAGGCTGAGAGAAAGGGGCAAATTTGGGGAAAACAGATGGCCTGTCTCACCTTCCTGCTTTGTCTCCTCAGATTCATGGATCAGCATCCAGAGATGGACTTTTCCAAGGCCAGATTCAACTAGCCCCTGTGTTTGCTCCCCTGAACTCTCCAGGCTGAGCTCCCGGCTCCCCACTTTCCTCTCCCACCCTCCCCGGGACTGGTGGGCTGCAGGGCCAGGGCAGGCACGGGGCTGGCCGGCACACAGGTCCCAGGCCATCATGGCAGAAGGGCTGGGGCCTTGGGGGGTATTGTCCTCCCCAGCTGGCCTGCTGTTACACATTAAAACCATTAACCCAATTCCACTTGTGTCCTTTTTTCCTCTGTCCTTTCTCTGGGGTTCAGGCCTCTTAGGACTGCTGCTGGGGCCTGGGGGCTTGACTACGCACCCGGGTTCTGCCATGTGATCTGGAGCAAGTCCTTGCCCCTCCCTGGGTTCAGTTTCTCATTCCTTTAGAGGATTCAGACAAGGCTTTTAGTCTGTGTATGATTTTGAACAAAAGGGGTTACAGGCATCAAGCATATGTCAGATTCTCCAAGGGGCCCATGACTCAGCAGCATTTAAGACCAGCCTGACTTGATTCCGTTTTCATCTCTGAGACAATTTCCCACTGCACTGGGTCTGTCCTCTAGTCCTGGGGCACGTGTTTCTAAAACTCCACACTACTTCCCAGAGGCAGAGAGCAGCAAAGGCTAGGGGTACCGCCTAGGCCCCAGAAGGGCTGTGTGTGTGGTGGGGATCTGGCTGGGAAGGCAGGGGGATGCCCAAAGGAACCTGTTGTGTGTCTTTGACCTGGACCCTTGCAGATTTTAGGGCTTTTCAGAGTGAGCCACCAAGGCCATGCTAGGGCTGGAGAGCTGTTCTCTTTTGCCCCAGTCCAGCCACTAGAGCTGACCCTTGTCCTGCTTTGGCAGGAAGTACAGGTCACAGTGCAGAGCGCCATAGAGGTTATGGTAACAAGAATGGGTTCACTTGCCCAGGGTGCTGTGCCCTGTGAGCCACAGGTGGCCCCTGAATTTCTGGGACACAGCATATCTGTCCTTTTGGCATCTGAGAAGAGCTTGTTAAAGACTTAAGCTATGCAGTATTTGACTTTGTTTATCAAACTTACAAATCCCTTTTTCTGGGAATGCCAGTAGTGGTTCCCAAGGCAGCTTGGATAATGGGGCTCAAAAAAAGCTTTGGCCCCCAGAGGCCCGTTTTCTAAGCTCTCAGATTGCTTCTTGGCAGGAAAGTTGTGACAAACCTAGACAGTGTATTAAGGAGCAGAGACATCACTTTGCTGACAAAGGTCCATATAGTCAAGGCCACGTTCTTTCCAGTAGTCATGTATGGATGTGAGAGTGGGACCATAAAAAAGGCAGCCGAAGGATTGATGCGTTCAAACTCTGGTGCTGGAAATTTTTCTCTAGAAGGGCTGATGCTGAAGCTCAAGTACTTTGGCCACCTGATGCAAACAGCTGACTCACTGGAAAAGACCCTGATGCTGGGAAAGACTGAAGGCAGGAGGAGAAGGGGATGACACGGATGGTGTCACTGATTCAATGGACACGAACTTGGGCAAACTGGGATATGGTGAGGGACAGGGAGGCCTGTCCTGCTGCAGTCTGTGGGGTTGCACACAGTCATACACGACTTAGTGACTGAACAAGGGCCAAGGCTAAGGTGTAGGGGCTGTAGCATGACTCTCCTCTGTCCAGTGATAGCCCAGGGCTCCAGTGACCCATGGTCATTTTCTTCACCTTTTATTTTTTTGGTGGCCACACCATGTGTAATGGCATGTGGGATCTCAGCTCCCCGATCAGGGGTCTAACCCATGCGCCTTGTAGCGAAAGTGAAAGTTGCTCTGTCGTGTCTGACTCTTTGTGACCCCATGGACTGTAGCCCACCAGGCTCCTCTATCCGTGGAATTCTCCAGGCAAGAATGCTGGAGTGGGTTGCCATTCCCTTCTCCACGGGATTTTCCTGACTCAGGGATCAAACCCAGGTCTCCCGCTGTGCAGGCAGGTCCAGCCACCAGGGAAGCAGTGGAAGTGCAGAGTCCTAACTACTGGGCTGCAGGGAATTCCTGGCCTGTGGTCATTTCCAATCACGGAGGGCCATGACCTGGATGGGACAGCAGAGCCTAAGGAGAGGGGCCAGTTCTATCACTGGGACTGAGCCTGCAGTCATGGCCACAGGGACCATCCTGGGTGTCCAATAGGAAACTGAATAGACAAGTAGTGTGTCTAGTCAACTTTCCAAAGGCTGCCCATGAGGTCAGTAAAAAGGACGGTGGGGCGGCTGCAGGTGAAGTGGGGGTAGAGAGGGATCCATGATACATAGCTTTATCAGTCAGAACTTTGGTGGGCCTGCTCTGGTCTCACTGAGGACAAACACACTCCTGTGTGTGAGGAGTAGCAGGAGCCTTCTGAACCCTCAGCTCAGTTGGTAAAGAATCTGTCTGCAATGCAGGAGACCCCGGTTTGATTCCTGGGTTGGGAAGATTCCCCTGGAGAAGGGAGAGGCTACCCACTCCGGTATTCTTGGGCTTCCCTTGTGGCTCAGTTAGTAAAGAGTCCACCTGCAATGCGGGAGACCAGGGTTTGATCCCTGGGTTGGGAGGATCCCCTGGAAAAGGGAAAGGCTACCCACTCCAGTATTCTGGCCTGGATAATTCCATGAACTGTACAGTCCATGGGGTCGCAAAGAGTCGGACACGACTAAGCGACTTTCACTTTCACTTTTCTGAACCCAGATGGGCTCTGATGTCCACATAGGGGATCTGGCTTCTACCCCAAGCAGGTCAGTTTGCCAGCTTGGGGGCAAAAGTGCCAAGAGGCCAGCTTCTGGGTACAGAGCCACAGTTACTAGTATGTGACCCATTCAATTCCTTAACGCCTCTGATTCCCAGCCCCTGTGAAAGAATGACCCACCCCAGGACTGTTGGGAGAGCCAAGAAGACACCAGTGATGCTCAATGCTGTCAGCACCAGGGGGGTGGAGGGAGCCCCAGGTCTGTGGCGGGCTGGGTGGGGGCTGACATGCACTCAGGGTGTGGAGAAACTGCAGGGATGGCCAGGAGCAGGCCCACCTGTGGGCAGTGAATTGGGGCAAAAGGCCTGCCTAGACGGACCTCTCAATCATGACAGAAGCTACTTAGTAAATCCTTCTAAGGTACAGATGCTGCACTTGTCTCGATCTCCTGGAACTCACCGTGATGAGTCTGAGAGATGGGCCTTACTGCTCTCAGTTTAGCCTTCTGACCTCAACCCCACAGCACTAGGCCAGGCTGGATGCTCTGCGTGGTCTCCTGCCCCAGGCAGCAGTCAGGCAAATGCGACAGAAAGGACAGCATCACAGCCAAGATGAGCAGACAGATATCTATTAAGTTTGTACTATGGTCACATTAGTATGTAGAACACCAGCCAGGAACCTAACTGCTCAACAGAACATAACATGGAGTGGGCACTGCCCACAGTTCCAGACAGAGGTCCTGCCTGCTCTCAAACCCAATACACTTAAGACAAGCTTCTTTGAGCTGTTACCCGCTCTGTCCTGGGGAGGGGGAGGACTGCATGATAGATTATGGGTTGTATGTTACAGGGGGAGCATGTTATGGGGATGGAGTTGGGATTCAATCCCAGAAGTCCCCTCCTCAGCTTTTGCTTTCCATGACCCAGGCCTCCTGAAGACAGGGCAGGAAGGACAGGCCCAGGCAGGGGCCAGGCCAGCGGGGGACCCCAGGGGAACGGGGGCGCCACAGCCCAGTGAAATGCATGTGGCTCGGGAACCATTCAGCCAAGGCGGGAGGAGCCAGAGTGGGCACTGCTTCTGGGCTCACGGCCTTGCCTCCCAAAAAGGGGGGCTCTGGTCCCTCTGCTCATGCTGTAGACTGTCCTCTCAGATGGGGAGGCAGCACAGGGCCTGGCGAGGGTTAGCAGGTCACCTGGAGCAGCGGTGCTCCCGAAGAGTCCGTGTCGGTGCCCTGGAAGGATGAGTCGTGGCTGGCAGGGTATCCTGCAGGGGAAGGAAGGAGGAAACAGAGGCTCAGAGATGGGGAGGGGCTCATGCAAAGCCCTCGGGCAGGAAACAACCTGCTGAGAAGAATCAGAGGGGGACTTGAGCTGGGTGGGTGAGCCACTCGGCGGCTTTGCCTCTCTCAACCCCAGTCTTGCTCCCTGTAAAGGGGAATGACCCTGCTTCCAGGGGCTTGTGAAAGCCAAGAAGATAGCAGTAGAGACCACACAGGGTGCCTTTCAGCTCCAGTGGGTGCCCACCTCCCCCGCCCTCCACTTTTCTCTCCAGTGACCAGGGTTTCAATTCAGGCTCTGGGCACCTGCCTGCCTCCTGGCTCAGGGGCATCCCCCTGAATCTCTCCCAGCGGAATCTTTGAGCCAGCCTGCAGGACAGGGATAGGGTAAGAGGCTGCTCGGGCCTCTCCTCCCTTTCTGATCCCATCCTCACCCACCCCAGGAGGAAGCTGGGAGAGGGGCAGGTTGGGGGCCGCGAGGGCTGTCCCCTCTCCTCTCCGCACTCCTCATCACGTCAGGACCAAACCTGGGGCTCCATAGGGTCTCAGCTTCCTGGCAATGGCATCTGCGGTTGTCTCCTGGGAGATCTGCACTGTGAGTTCTAGGGAGGGAACACAAGGGGCAGTGGTCATTATCATGTCCTTTCAATCTCATTCCCCACTTATTAGCCCTGGGCTCGGTTAGAGAAACATCGTGTGTGTGTGTGTGTGTGTGTGTAGAGAAATGAAGTTTAAAAAATGACACGGAGTGTGTGTGTGTGTTTGTGTACACGCACTGGGTTAGAGAAACATCGTGTGTGTGTATGTGTATGTGCGCTGGGTTAGAGAAACATCATATGTGTGTGTGTGTGTAGAGAAATGATATTTAAAAAGTGACATGGAGGGTGTGTGTATATTGTGCGTGTGTGTGTGTGTGTGTGTGTGTAGAGAAATGATGTTTAAAAAGTGACATGGAGGGTGTGTGTATATTGTGTGTGTGTGTGTGTGTGTGTAGAGAAATGATGTTTAAAAAGCAACATGGAATGTATGTGTGTGTGCACGCGTGCTGGGTTAGAGAAACATTTTGTGTGCATGTGTGTGTGCGCATGCATGCACGTGCTAGGTTAGGGAAACATTGTGTGTGTGTCTGTGTGTGAGTGTGTAGAGAAGTGATGTTTAAAAACTGACACAGCGCGTGTGTATGCATGTGCGCTGGGTTAGAGAAATAGCGTGTGTGTATGTATAGAGAAATGATGTTTAAAAACCGACACGGAGCGGGTGTGTGTGTGTGTCTGTCTGTCTGTACAAT